GTGTTACTTCATTTGGAGTTATTTCTACTCTACTTCTCTCTTCTCAAAACAAAAATCAATTTTATGCTTAAATTATTAGTCAGTTAACTTAAATGGTCCAAGGCAATCAGTTTCCTCAAACAGTTTGAGTTGAACAAACTTATCAGGTTTTACAGTGTAGTTTCAGGAGGTCTGGCTGCTGCTCCATACTGAGAGGAGGCGGCTGAAGGAGGTTCCGACACCTGGTAAAGATAGATAACGATGTGCTCCCATTCTGGTGTATGATGAGCAGGAACAACTAAAAGTCAATGCTGTTAAAACACACCTGGGAAATGCTTGAGGGACCACATCCCCCAGTGTATGTTGGCGGAGGAGCTGCAAGAAATTGCATGTTAAAAGAAGATGTGTTGGTTGACTTTACTCAATGCAAATACTGAAACACTAACGCTAACAATCATTTTATAATAGTATTTAAATGTAATATTGCTAGATAAAGTATAATCTTACTTTTGAATGATTCAACATCAGTGATTCAACATCAATTCAAATGAGAGGAGAGGTACTTAAAACGGCTCCAGGTTTACTTTGCAGCAGAACTCAAAGTACATTTGAGTTGCTGATAGTGTTTACATATTTGAAAAGGTCCCTATAGATGTGTTAAATGCCACTTTGACATGACAAAATCAGTTACCAATGACTGTAGATCCCTGCATCTGGAAAATGAAGGCTGGGCTTTTAGGGTGCCCTAAATGACTTTCAGCTATCTCTGCACTTTATCTGCACCAGTGTTTGACAGAGAAAATTGCATTAGTCTATACAGTAAAGTGGTTGAACAGAGAGAATATCAAGTCTTCAATCCAACAAATCTACCAGAAACTGACCTTTAAAAAGCAAAGGGGTTTGGATCCAAAGTGAGCACTTTTGCTAGCATAAGTCAAACAAGATTTTTGTTGACTCCTTCCTCTGAATTTAAAGAAACTGAAAGGTAATTTAAGCTAATGTTTTCTTGCCCAAAATGTAACTGTAGAACCATGTAAAAACTGCACAGAAAAACCCAGTAATAACTTAGTGATGAGGCGGTGTGCCCTGAGATGTGAGGCGTTCCCCTGCTGTCGAAAATGGGCTCAAATAACTCCACTGGGCTCATTGTGTGTTTCTGCACGAAGAAGAAATATCCTGCAGTTTGACATATACAGTTAAGTGCTTTCAACAACACCTGAATAACACAGTAGGCACAGAGAATATAGAAGTCATCACTGTTCTTTGTTACTCATACGAGTGCTCCTTTTGTAAGAGCAACTGGACTGTCAACTAACAGTGACAGACAAGATTCAAATCCATGTGGAGAAACCAACCCATAAGGCCGGATCGCTAGTTAAATATAAACTCTACTGGCCATGAAATTCATTGAGGCTGACAAAAGTTAAGCTTCTGAAGGCCAGAGAATGTATTCAGGCTAATAATATCTCAGCCAGAAACATGATCTGACCTTGCAGACATAATGTGAGAAAAGTAAATGAGCTGTGGTGATTTCACCAGAGGCCAAAGAATTCAGAGCTGAGCAGTTGGCTGATTCAGCACAATGAAATGCATTTAAATTAATTCCGAAGTCTGTAACACTGGACTGTCCCCAAGTGGCTGTATATACTGTACATACCCAGTTCATGTGTGGGTTTTAATGTTGATAAGTACACTGATTTGGCAGCTGCAACCAGGCAAACACATTACATGTGCATTTCTTGGCTTCAGCAGCTGTCCTTTAGTGAGCTACAGGTACATACATCTGTTTTGTGAGCGCTACGGCTGGAATGAATGTTGAAAGGAGGCCTGTGTGATGTTGCACTCATCAGACGATGTGCTCCTCTCTCATCAGTGGAGATGTAATAGGAGTGGACAGGCCTAGGAAGAATCAGTGAGCAGTGAATGAGTTGGCATTCTCCAGCTGAGAAGAGATGAGAAAATAATGTGGGCAAAGTCCAAAACAATGTAAGCAATAACTTGTCCTATTGCAACAATAAACAATCATCAAACAGACACTATCTTTCAATCTTGGCTGAAAATAGGATTAGAGTGAACACAGCTCCAGTATCAGTGCTAAGGATCCTGGCAGGTGACCAACTAAATTAAAACAACAGCATTGTTATGGGTGACTACCGGCTGTGTGTATTGTTTTATTCTTTCATTAAGCAAATGGCTAGTCCGTCGATTTGTTTGTCAGGACAGAGCAGCATCAACGCCCTTGACCAGATGTGCTGGCTGCTCTGGTAACAGCAACCTGGCTTCAGGGTGTCCAGGGGATTCAGTGGGACTGGTTGCGAAATGACAACATTAGTGATGAAATGTTTTGAGGCTTATATGTCCTGTTAGAGACTCTGACAGAGACTTTGACCATCCACTTCATCCTGTTCAACACAGCAGCCAGTCTAGAGAGGAAACTAAAGCCAGAAAACAACAAATGGTGGTATCGTAACAACAAAATCACATATATCTTCAAATTAGTTTATATAACTGTGTATCATGACTTACGGTAGATTTTTTAAAATATTGTATGTATATTAAAGTTTAAGGATTTTTTTTTTAAAATATATTTGCTTCTTGTTGAGACTTAAATGAGAAGATCGATACCACTCTCATGTTAAGGGTTCAGTGAAACATTAAAGATCTATTGGCTGTAAAATCACTTGAAAACAAGAATTGTTGCGTTTTTGTAACATTAGAACAAGATGTTTTATCCACCATGTACTGCCATGTTTCTACACACACACGCTCTAGATAGTACCTTTCGCATTTTTTCAGTACATTTTCTCCCACTTGGAAGGCAAGTGTTATTAAGTTAGTTGCAATCAGCTAGATTTCACTAGGTCCTTCACACGGGTCCTGAAAGTATGAAACTAGAGCCACAAGGCACTTACCTATTTTAATTTTGCAGCTGTTTAGCTGGAAGCAGGTAAAACAACTGATGTCCAAAGAGAAAAAAAAAAAAAAAAGCCTACTAATACCTGTAAAGGTCACTAATTAACACTTGTCATCTCATTTGTTTAATGAGTCCACTAACAGCAATGTAAAACCTTAACATATTGTGTTATACAGATAGAAGAGATTCCACCCTAGGGGTTAGGGTTAGGGTCACCCGTAACTGGTGAGATTTAGAGGTGCTGGTAGCCTCATATTTAACTAACACACAACTATTTATTTAAGTCAAAAAATAAACATATGAGGCAAGTTTGGACAACCCATTTGTGTAGGAATTAATTTGAGATATTAAAAGCTGAATTTGTTGCTATGTTTGCAATTAATTGTATGCAGTCAAGGCTATAACAAATGGAGTGATCTGTTTTGTTTTTGAATGCAAAAAAAAAACTTCATACAAACAGACTGGAAAGAAAATTGGGATTAGTAATATATATTCTTTTATATTTATGTACATCGTTGCACAAGGCTTTTTGTTACATAGTTTCTGGCATAATTTAGGTCTACCTCAGATTATCCTCACAGGTAGTGCCCAGTGAAGAGGCATCCAGGTGGCATCCTTCATGGGTGCCGAAACCAACAGGCTTAGATTTTTTTTTTTTTTAGATTTTTAATTTATTTCTGAGCTCCTAAATCTCCTGAGACACATCATTTTGGCCGTTTGTATCTGAAATCTCAATTTTTCAGTCACTACCCCACACTCATGGCTACAGGCTACAAGAGAGGGTGGGGGTTGGAACAAATATTGTCCAATTAAATGAGAGTTTTGCCTTGTGGCTCAGTTTTCTTTCCAGTCTTATGGTCTATTACACGACTGCAGCTCACGAACCCTACCACTGATACAATGCAATGCTTTATAATGACCTGATACAGATATAGATATGAACTTTTGATATCGAGAACTTTTATTATAACATCATTCATTTGATGGATGCTTTTATTCAAAGCCTTATCCCTGGCTCTGTTAGCCCTATACATCCAGTTATAGCAGGCCTTTCTTAAAGGATTTAACTGATAGCTGTGCAGAGGTTTGGCCAGCTCTGGTTCTTTGCCACTGAAAGACACTTACATCACCGCCCAGTCACTGAGTCCCAGAGGTGAGGCAAAAATACCAAAGCATGCTGGTCACCGTTGTGTTCCCTGTCATCAGCAACCAGTGAGGAGAAGAGACAAATACATTCACTGCCCTTTCTTAAGTAATCACAGGAGATTTCTGGTCAGAAGCCAAAGTCTGCCTAGTGACATTCAGGTTGTCCAAATCAATGGCAATCAATGGTACCGTGCTCTGAGCTCTACTGAGAACTTTTATGAAATGAGCAAATGTGTCTACCTAAATACATAAAGGGGAATCATGTATATCCTACCAGAAAACAATCATTTAACATGAAAGTAGTCCACAGGGAAGTCTCTTCAATTTGTTAAACATTAAGTTTTATTGTATTAAGCTAATCCTAAACCTAACCACAATTTTATTTTCTTGTCTTGATTCTACTCTTACGTTTAGCATCACACTGTAAAGGTTGTGTCCTCTTCATACTTTTGAGACATTCATTTTGTGGTGCAGGGGGGAGCATAACTTGTATTGATTTGTGGCCCTGTCTCTCTTGAATGGTCACAGCAATTCATCTCCAGTGTCACTGGGATTGATTTAACAGAATTAGATAGAGTTGGAGCTGTTGGGGCCACCTGATGCTACCTGGTGTCATCTACCTATCTAAGGAGTAAAGTGGAGACAAGAGGGTATGAAAATTTAAGTTTTGCAAAATTACTATTAGTAATTTAGTAATAAAAAGAGATCAATACCAACCATTGTTGAGGCTATACTGTACTTCACCTAATAACCGTTGGTTTAACAGCAGAAATGGAGACTCCTTTGTTAGAAATGATTAAAACCTTTATGTTTAAACAAAATGCTAAATGTACAATGTGCAAAATGACACATTTTTTGGCACCAAATCTGCAAATTTTGATTACATCTGTTTAGACTGCACCCAAAAAACTTGAAAAACTGCATCCCATATGCCATTTCAAATATTCTGATGGAAGATGAACCAAATGGTAACATAGTCAGATAATTTGATTAATTGAATAGTCAATCAACAGAATATTATTCAACATATCAAGTATTTTGATAAATGATTAATTGTTTTTATAAAAACAAAAACATCTGAGGATTACCTTGTTTATTAGGATAACATAGTAAATTTAATATATTTGGATTTTGGACTGTTGATCGAGCCAAACCAGAAATTGTGATGGGCATTTTCTTTTTACCAATTCCTGACATTTTATAGGCCAGATTAATCAATAATAAAATGAATTGCAACAGCAGTATGTCAACCTTTTATCAGCTTTTTCCTGGTGTAGCCTACAGGTGAAATTAACCCCTAGAGTTAATTAAAATCAACTGGATAATAAGCAGCAATCAGTTTGTTTACATAATCCAGCCAGAGTTCATTATGAAGTGCTGGCTTTAAGAATTTCCTATCTGCAGTAAAATGCATGCAGTAGTACAGTACAAACAGTCGTCTGCGTTATCTCCACTTTATAACTGCAGGCAGTTATTTCTTTAATGTTTCATACTGTAAAGACAAAATCACAACAAACAAACCAAACTCTGGTGTTCCTTAACAAACCCGTTTCCAAACCATTGCTAATTCTGAAGTTTTTTTCAAATTTTTAATGTGACAGTATGAAAAGCACAGTAATAAATAACAAGCTGCCTCAGGCTGTTATTATTGTACTTGTATAGAACTAAGCCCCCATTAATGTTATGTTCATGTTTTCCTGCTGTCAGTCTAATGAGTCAAAATGTTTGCTGTGAAAAAAACTAATTTAACTTATCTGCCACAGCTGAAGCATGTTAGAGTAACTTATATAGGAATCAGCACACAATAAATAGTTGGACTGTAACCAGTGAATGGATTAATTTTAATCTGTGGATTTGTTCTGTCTGTAGTGTCTGTACGATGACCTTGATAGTTTTCTGATCAAAGTTTGTGGACTACTAAACTGAATTCTCTTCATTATCCTGTTTTTAAAATCTCTTTATCACAGTTTTCTTCATTACATCAACAATGTCATGGTTTAGATACTAGGGTATGATTGACTGACATGATGGACATGTGGTTCATGTTTTTTTTCCTGAAGGAAAGTACTGGATAATCCGTCTCTAAAACGTCTCCTCTTGTGGTAATTGTAAACGAATGAAAGGAAAGTAACCTCAACAGTCCTTTGAGGCTTCTTAATAGACCTGTAGGCAGTGTGAAGTCATACAGAGCACGGGCAGGTTTTGTGTAACCTGACAATCACCATCTTCTATTTTTCATTCAGTCCTGAAGGTTTTTCCAAACCCTGGTTAATGTACATTGTATATGCCGGACTTGTCTAAAAATGGAACCCAGTTACACAACGCATGAAAAATCACCCGCTCCAACATGTTTACTGTGTTCAAAAAGATGTTATATAAAATGGACTGCCTCAAGCCGCACACACACAAAGACACATCTAGGTGATGGCTAGTTTCTGTTTTTACACTTATTTTACACATGCATGCTAGGTGTGATTGTGAAATATGTCCAGGGTACAGATAGCACTGTACAAATGTAAATATTTTAACCAGTTCAATTAAAAGTATTAAGTGTCTGGTTCTACTCTGGTTTTCTCACATTGTGCTCTCAGTGCTGGAATGGCAAGTTTGTCCTTCTTGTTCTCCACTGCTGTCAGAGGATTTTGGCTCAGTATGTCCACAGTCAGTGTCCTTTTCAACAACGGTCATCCCTCTTTTAGAGGGCAAAGCAGTGGGAGTACATTTCAAAGGCTCTGTTATCACCGTATTAGTTTCCAGGTCCGACTTCACTGTGTCTTTACGGTAGCAGAGCCTCAGCCCCTTGCGGAAGCGTATGGTGAACAGGCCGTAGATGATGGGGTCGAGGCACGCGTTGAAAAGCCCAAAGATGAACAGGATGTGGGTGAGGGAGTGAGAGACTTTCCCCTCCAGGTCATCTGGGAAGAACCAGTACCACAAACCCAACAGGTAGTACGGAGTCCAGCAGACTATGAAGCAGATCACGATCACGATGCTCATTTTCAGAGTTCTCATTCTTGCTTTGGGGATGTTGTTCTTTGAGCAACGGAGATGTAGCTCATTAGAGGACACTGGGGACAAAGAAGGAGAATTGAGCTGAGATGTGTATTCTACCTTTTGTTTTAAATAAATGGAATCAACCCAACCATCTATGTTATAACCGACCAAAACTCAGCTGTGAACTTACGGTTCTTTTTTGTCATCCGTTTGGAGATCTGGATGAAGATTCTGGTGTAGCAGACAATCATTATGACCAGCGGCAGCAGGAAGAGGCAGGAGAAGGTGAACATGTTGTAGGCGGTTTCCTGCCAGTGAGTGACAAAGCTCCCTCTAGTGGTGCACTGAGTAAAGTTTGCTGGATAAGTGATGGACACATTATGGAAAATGAACATCTGTGAAATAAAACAAAAACAAATATTAGGATAGTCTTATGCTGGCAGCAGATGTCAATTTCTGTTTGGCATTAGAAAGAGCCCTGTAGGATTTAACACTTATGTAGGTCACATATTTTACATATAGATGCCAGTGTTCAGTGGTCATTAGTAATGTGCCTTTACGTATCGTAGCAAAAACTAAAGATGTGAAGGTGAGGGTGGCTTTGACCCGAGCTTAGATCTCAGACAAACAGCTGACAGTTTGCTGAACACCTCCCCTGAACAGTGAGCGTCCAATCATTGGTTAGCAACCATAACTACCAAGGCCAAGGAGCCTTTTTATACTATATAACTATGTGGGGTCACATGTTATATAAAAAAAAAAACTCAAGGTAGGCTAACATTAGCAGCTCTGTCCTGTTCACACTCCAGCAACCCCAGCTGACAGCATAGAGTTATATTTACCAAACACTAGTCCCCTCAGTCTTTTCTCTTGTAGAATTAAATGTTAAAACATACTGTTTGATTTTTTCATAATTATCTCTGACATTTTCTAAATTAATCAAATATTCAATCATCTCATAATAGTGAGAAACTGTTCGTTATTATTTCCCATAGAAATATTCAAAGTGCTTATTTTATCCAACCAACAGGTCAAAGATATTCAGTAGATTATCTTAAAATTGACTTTGATCAACTAATTCATTATCAAAATAATTGCAGATTCATTTTCTGTTGGCTAAAATTGTTAATGGATTAATCAACTAATCCAATCTAAGCTTTCATTTTATTGTATTTACTATGTGTGGGTATTTAAGAACAAAAAACACTCGTATTGAAAATTGTAAAATGATGCATTGGATATAGTCCAGTCTTCATCAAGCTTCAGTTGGGAAATTGGATTTTAACACCACACTCCTGTCTCACAAAATGATCCACAGGGTTACATGATAGGTTGCCATATGTCTCACTGGTTATACAGTGAAACATCTATACTGCAGGATTAGGGATTCCCATCCATGCAACTCAATGATAGAGCCACTAATCCCTAACACAGAGACCCTGTGGCCCCTCTAAATCATGCAGCAGGTTTTCTTGCAACAAAGCCTAAATAAACCACCTTTTATGTAAATACACAGAAGCATGTGACTAGAGATAATGGTGTACCATGTATAAGAATTTAATTCAAGTTAATGTAAAGCCAGATTTTCATTTCCTGTAGCATGTGCAGTTTTCCTACAGTTTAATACCTTTGTGAGAATGAAATAATGTATGCAGATGTATCCACTCATCTTATATAAAGACCTATAGCCTGCTCACAGGGATACTGTATGGATCATGGAGGAGATGTTTCAGTTGTACAAGGGAAAGCCTAACACACAAGAGAGTTCAGTTCACAACCTATAACCCAGGACTTCTTTCTGAATCACTTCCCTCAAAGTGGTCAGTCTTGAAGTTTAACTGAACCTGTCTTGTCAAATCAGTGTCAGCTAGCCTTACCTGAGGGATTGAGAACAAGGTGCTCATAGTCCACGCCACCATCAGCATGACCCTGCTCCTTTTTGGGGCCATGCTGATGGCCAGAGGGTTGAGGATAGCCGACTGTCTGTCCAGACTAATCACCACTGTGACAAATGCACAGGAGTACATGGCCTGTAGCTTGAGGAACATCAGGAATCTGCAGGCCAGATCGCCGGCCAGCCACTGCACTGTGATGTTCCACACTGCATCCACGGGCATCACGATGAAGGTAACCAAGAGATCGGCTGCAGTCAAGTTGATTATCAGCACACGGACATGGGATTTGCGCTTGTGGCCATTGGCTGCCCACAGCACAGCCAAATTGCAGAAAGTGGAAATGCCACACAGGATGAAGGTGATAATCACTCTGACTTTGGCGGCTGTAGAAAAGGTAGGCAGCTGTGGCGCTCTGTCCACTGATGTCCAGTTACAGTGGGGAGCCAGCCACTCACAGCTGGCATTAAGGTCAAATCCTGAACTCTGCTGATACATGATGACTGGAGGATCACAGCAGGAGGAGGCATTCATTTTCTGACCATCACCAAGGAGTCAGCATTTTGTTCAGCTACTGTACATGGAGGCTGGTGGTGCCAAAGGAAGATAAGGCAAAATATAAACATGAGCCGTATGCATGCAGTTGTTGCAAAAGATTCATCCATATGGATTTGCATAAGTAGACTAAATAATGCAAGAAATACAGTGGCTGACAGAGAGGGAACAGTGTGCTGTGTAGGGCACATCTCTCTGATGCTCAATGATGTGGAAAGATGCTGTTTGCCTCTGACAAATTATGCACATTATGGCATAGGAGGTCTCCAGACTATTGAATTTGCTGCCACACCTGACAATCGATCAAGGTAATTGTACTCTAATGACAATATTCCCTTATCTGACAAAAAAAGATGGAGATCTTTAAACTGTTTATGTTCACATTTCTTTTCTGTGGTGAGCCTCAGCCTGGAATCCGTAATACAAACTTTTACATTTAGCAACGTAACGCCATACAAGCCTTTGAGTCTGAGTAGTGACAATGCAATAAATAAAAATGGCTTCTATATTTGTGTGATATTTTTGCAATAATGTAAAGACATAGTCAACATAAGACTCAGCCAATAGCCTACACTAAATTATGTTAGTATCTTATACATTTTACTGCATGTTGCTATACACTGTTTATACTATACACATTTTCCACTTTTGTTTGTATGGCAATAGCGCAAAAATGTATTTGTACTAATAAACAAAAGTATAAGAAAGAGCTACAAACTCACACTGGTGTCCGCGATGTATTTCCCAGATCAGAAAAGTGAAATCCTCTTTATGGAAGTCCCAGACTCTGCTGCAGCTCCATCATCCTGCTGGACTTAATGATGAGCAGTCTACAGGACTGATTTTCTGAGTAGGCTGTTAGTATGATGAGTCTCCAGTCTTGCCTCGCAGTTTTATCTCAGTGTCGCTTCGGGAGTTCTTTAGACGCGTTTTGTGCTCGCTCCGCTCCGCTGTGCGCGTCAGGCGCTCTGTGGGCGCGGCTACGAGCATCTCCGCATCCGAGGAGCGTCAGTTCAATGAACCCTGAGCTCCGGCAAAGTTTCTAATTTTAATCCTGCCAGAGTTAATGTAATGAGACCCCGTAGCCCCTATTAGCATCATTTTCATCTAGACCCAACCAAACCTGCTCTTATTAACTGCGTGTCTGTTAAGGTTATGTGGTGATGACTTAAGCAAATTACAGTAATATGTATATATACTAACGCAGCCTCAGCTTGAGACCATCGTTTAGTGTGTGTTGAAAGTGTGTCAGAGAGCTGTTGCTGAATTTACTTTTTGGTCTTTTTTTTTAAGCCATAGGCTATTTCTTCACGTTGCATGAGAAAGCATGCATTATTTTGGCTCATGATTCTTATTTTGTATGTATTATTCAATGTGATATATTTCATCAGTAGCATTTTCTCGTGTTCTTGGGTTTCTTGTCAAATCAGGAGGAACACTTTTACCACTACCAGACCTACATCTGTATTCCATTAGCAGCAGTGCTCAAACATGCACATAATGAAAAGAATCTTTAGAGAAAACCGTCCCAATATCCATCTGCTGTTTGCCATCTGCTGGAAGGTTTAACATAAATAGCTATGCACACACTCAGAGTCCTGTTCACTCCTAGACTATTAAAGTTTGGTGTTATTATTATTATATGAAATAAATAAATACAACACTCTTCCTGAGTCATGCTATTAATGTTATCTGAAAGCATGAAAAATAACATTTGCTTTTGTATTATTTGGGTGTGCTATAGGGGATCACATGACTACTGGTAAGTGTGTGGTTTGTATGTACCACTGAGAATTACAGTCCAGTTGGACTTACCACTCTAGTCAGTTTAAGTCACAGCAGACAGCTGTTTCTGCAAATATATCTTCTACTATAAGCAATGTATGCTACCTGTACAGCTCCACATAGTAAACAGACAAAGCTAGTATGTGGCTAGTGAACATAGTGGAGCATTTTAGCAAAAGCAGATATTTTTCACAGGAGCTGGTAGTGACCAAAAACAGAGCTCAAATGAGAGTGAATATTGGACTTACATTCAGGTAGCCAGAAACAAGATGTCAAATTAAATGCTAATGTTGCTCCATGTCTGCTGAATGTGGAAATAGGCAACTGTTAGCTAACAAGTTTGCCATATCAACTAGCAGGAATATGTAAAAATGACACATTGGTTACAGTGCGGGACTATTTCTAGTCTGGGAGCAGTAACTTTCTGGAGTCTTGTGGTTACCTTGGATACCTTCATATTTATCGTACAGACATGAGAGTGTATCGATCTTCTCATCTAACTCTCAGCAAGAAAGAGAATAAGCATATTTCCTGAAATGTCAAATCATTACTTTAAAAGGTGATAATATGCCAGTGTTGTGTTTACAGTGTGTTTCTGCTGCCCTCAAGTGGCCAAAAATGTTGGTAATTCTGGTTTAAACAAAAATAAACAAGGATGTATAATAAAAGATCATACTCTTTTATAATTTGACCGTTGCAGCTGGCCATTGCTTTGTTATGTACTTGACCACAACTCCCAAGACCTTGAAGGCATCAAATCAACATTTGACACCGAACTGTCTGTAAAAATGCATTTATATGTTGCATGTGATTACATAAGTCTTGTTTCAGCTCCTCAACACAGGGTGAAGACGTCCGCCAGACTTGGTTTTTACAGCACTTTATCAAACTCCTACACTTTACAGTACACTCACATAATCTGAGCTCATATGAAGCAACAAAAGAACCATTATGTGTGCCTCCCATATGGGCAAAAAAGGGAAGAGGGAAAAAGAAAAAAGAAAAAAGATCTTCTTAGTGGCAGACATTACTGATAATACCACAGTCAGGGGTTAGAGATTAAGTTCAGAGAAATAAATGCAATGTAAGTATTTCTAGCTGACACACATTTTATTTATAATGATGACCTACAAACTTTGTTGTTTATTGGTTTAGAAAAAGGAAGTAATTGCAATGATGAACTAAATTCCACTAAATGAATAAAATTCATATTTGGAAATATTTAGTTTGTTTTCTTTGTGTTTATTAGACAGTCAAGATTGAGAGTGGCAGATATTGTGGCAAAGGTTGTGACCTGGATTCAAACCAAATATGCTAGACTGCTAAACCTTCACTGTGCTCAGGTGCACATGATGATTTATCAACATGATAAGGCTTCAGGTCATAAGAGAAGAGAGAAAAAGCATCTGTTCAATCCCCTCTGATCATGGAAAGTAGCACCTGAGCACCAAAACTGAGATAAGTGGTACTTGTGAGATGTATTTTGGTTAGAATCACTTAGGCCTTTACTGTACCTCAGAACCATATTAACATGTTTGATGTTTTCTGATGAGAGAAGGAAAACTCGTGAAAAGGAGAAAACTGGATGGAAAAGGCTGATAATTAATTAGAAACATTTTCATTATTTGTATTTTGGACATTGGACAGCAGCCATGCAGAGGAGACAGTTTTTGTATGTCATTGACTCACCTCTCTGTCACAGGCTCTCCTCTGTTCAGTCTGCAGCGGTGGATTATCAGCAGCCTATCTCTTCTGAGTGGTGGAACAGCTGATTGGTGCTGGCCGCTGGTTTACGCAGATGTCCGACTTTGGGATACTGTCCAAACAGGCCGCGACCTTCCCAGCTCCACAGACATCAGACTCTTTTCCACGTTAATCCACAGTAATTGTGGTGCTTGTATCGAGGCTAAGTATTATTATCATCATTGTCTCAATGTGATCTTGCTGAAATCCCCCCGCCCCTTTCACAACCAACACATATTACTGCACAGTGTGTGTAGTCTAAGACAACAGAGTGCTTAACCTATTAGTTTCTCATAAAACCTATTCTTCTTTTGCTGTGTACATGTGCTTCTACCTTCATACAGATGATGCTTAGCCTATAGAGGATTATATATTGTTGTTTCTGATATATGTATGTTTTGTTGAGTGTAAGATGAGAGTGTAAAGATTACAAATACATTTGTTAAATGTCCAGTGTGTAATATTTAGGTGGATCTATTGATAGAAATGGAATATAATGTTTTAATTAATGTATAGTCACCTGAAAATTATATAAAAAAAGAAAGAATGAGCCCTTTTATGCAAGTCACCTTCCATGGAGTCCATCATGTTGAACCGCCATGTTTTCTACAGTAGCCCAGAAGGGACAAAACAAAAATTGGCAATAGATAGGACTTTCACATTTTTTGCAAGTTTTGCGGCCATCGTAGTTTCTCCTACACACTTCAAAACCTGTTCTCATTCCCAGGTCACGAGTGGCGTTCAGTTTGTTGCAATCTGTATCTTTACTAACTTTTGTCGCCTACTAATATTAAATCCAACTATACAATCACTCCCTTGGATCCATTTTGTAATCATGGAGGAAACTAACTTGGGAAATGGAAACGCTTATATTCAGTGGCTGGAAATACAGCCATTACTTTGATTTTAACAAACAAAACTGAATTTTAATCGCCATATGATTTAGTAGATAAGTTTTAGGGAGACATAGAAGAAGAAAATTGACACAAGTAGTAGTGTAACTAATTACTGTTGGCAGGGAGTAATAAGTAAAGGAATAATATTACTTTTTAAAAGCTTAATGAGTAATAAATTATTTTTTTTTTAAGGAACTAGTCCAACACTGGATGCCACTTAATTCTAGACACTGGTCTTTTAAGGCTAAGAGTCGACAGCTACCCTATCAGCTCTGTGAGGCTGTACATAGCCATAATGGTGCTTTGAGCTAAATGCTAATGTCAGCATGCTAACATGCTCACAATGACAATGCTAGCATGTTGATTTGAAGCAGATGCTGACCATTTTAGTTAAGCGTGTTGGTATGCTATCATTTGGGACGAAATCAAAATTTCGACCTCATGGTGTCAGATATTATTAAAAGTTATTTCATGGCAATCCAGGTTCGGACATTTCACTCCAACCCAAAAATGTCAACCTCATGCTGGTACTAGAGAAAAAGTCTGGGGATCACCAAAGTCATTAGTATTCATTGTGATATGTTGATAAGACTTTATAATAAGGGTATAAATCATATAAGTACTGCTTAACTAATGCATGACTCATGATGATGTAATGCCTGAATTAATGCTGGAGGTTTCATTAATTCCAGTTGCTCACCATTAACAAATGCTCAAATCATTTAAAATGGTAAAAGTGTATGTGGAGAGTCCAGTGCTAATCTGACAAGCATGTAATAACCCCATTTTACCACAGACAGCACAAATGTTTTCATAGAGGATTTAGTATGAAGATACAAAGCTGCGATATATACCTGACATAGGTCAACAATTTCAATAATTTCTTCTACCATTCAAAAATAGTTTCAACTACCATGTCTGGCTGTTGCAACCAGTGCCTTAAAGGATGACTTGGGAATGAGAACGGACTGTAGGAGAAGTTATGTTGGCACAAAACATGAAAGGCCCAATATCCAGCCAATGTTTGGTTTGTCCATTCTGGGATACTGTAGAAACATGGCGGTTCATCATGGTGTAACAAGGTAACAAAAATTCATTTTTTCAGGTGATTATACACTAATGAAAACATACTTATGAATATTATATTCCATTTCTTCCAATAGATGCTCCTTAATATTACACACTGGACCTTTAAGAAGCAGTTCCAGTAATGGCTGTCAGCTCTTGGCTCCATAAAATCTGAATGTATCGAACTGATGCATGTCCAAGTAAAATACTGTATCAGCATTAATGCAGCTTTTACCTGAGAGCTATGAAGTGACCATTCACCTTTATAAATGCTAAAAACATGTCCTGATCCAATTAATAAACATTTTAGTGACTGAGCATTTCACTATCGGTGGACTAGGTGGATTTCTGAATTGAAGGTCACAGAATCAATCAAATGGTTTCATTGGCTGT